CATAATTTCTCTACCATTTATTTAAAATTTGATACAGATTACAATTCTACAATTAAATACAAATCTACTTGTTGATAGATATCTTACTTTTTGCAGAAGTTTACGTTTTTATAAAATGACGAAAACCATCTTTTACTTTTTAAAGTCAGTTCTAATTAATGTCACAGCTGCATTGGTGGCACAGCTGACAGTGTTGCCTCACAGCAAGAAAGTGCAGGGTTCAAACCTCAGCTGTAGTTTCTCTGCATGTTCTCTCTTAAGTAAGAGTTCACACACAAGCATGAAGACATGTTCTGGATGCTGCTGGTCTTTGAGCTGTCTGACAAATTACCTGAAAGTTGATTTGAACTTTGATGTCAGGGTGACTGGAACAACATAATCCATATTATATATATTTGCACAGTCAAGTGCATCTTTGTTGAGCATCCTCCTGGATTACAAGACAAGATTTATTAGTACTGGCATGGAACACCATGTCTGGCATTATGTTCACTTTGAGTTTGGTGTAGCTTTGTATAATACTGATATTTGTACAGCACGTTCACAAGAACAGTGTTTCCTGCTGTGTCATAAAGCGTAAATGATTTGATGATTAGTGAAATTCAAACCTAATAAAACTTAATGTTCATCTGTCCACAGGTTCTGAATCTTTTTCTCGCCCTGCTGCTCAGCTCCTTCAGCTCTGACAACCTCTCTGCTCCGGATGAAGACGGTGATTTAAACAACATTCAGGTCGCCATCGCCCGCATCCACGGCGGCGTGTCCTGGCTCGGGAGGAGCACCATTAACCTCTTCCAACACAGCCTGAGGAGTCAGAAAGCCAAAGAAGCTGGTCAAGCCATTAGKTTGGCTGGAAATCACATAGAAAGTAACGGGGGAGTTTTTTCAAAGTARGGAGAGAAGTACTTCATATCAGAAGAGGATAGCTACATGACAAACCCAAACCTTACAGTCATTGTTCCCATCGCACCTGGAGAGTCAGATGTGGAGTTTCTGGAGGAAGAGGAGAATTCAGAGTCATCTGATGATGAAGATAACAAACCAGTAAGTTTTCTATCCTAAAAAATGAAAGTCTTTTAGATTAGTGGAGCTCGCGTTTATTGTTTCACACTCGGATCTAAACATCTAAACGTCATATTTGTATAACTGGGTATTGGGCAAGAATAAGTTATATRCAAACTAAAAAAGGAATATAAGTAATAGACAATCATCCTGGTCCTGAGGAGGAAGTCATAACATTTCTGTAAATATAACATTTCACAAAATGCAACAGCAGAGCAGACAACATAAAAACTAAGCAAGACAAATAAAAAAAATACATCTACCTACCTAAACCACCCACCTGTGGGCCGTGATTTTTCCCATATCTGCATAATAGCCAAATGCAACATGGTCACAATATTTACTCACTATCAGTGGATAAAATTATGTTTGTTCAAGCAATGTTTGAGTCAAGCTTTTAGACATTAGTGAATAGAATATACTGTATAGTAACCCTATCCTTCTTGATTTACATATACACCTTAAACAGCTGAAATGTTGTAAATATGAGGTGACAACAAAACAGTGTCAGAAAGCAGCAGCTGAAATACCACCAGAAACTGCACAAAAAGTTTTGTCCAACTTTCATGCACAGATTGTGCATTTATTTGTGCATTTATTTATTTATTTATTGTGTGATGATAACTTCAAATTTTGTGCATTAATCTAATTTACAAAGTCCTCACAAAGTGAGCTTTGCACCTCTTTTCAAAGCATCTCTGCATTGGTGCAGTTGATGGCAAGGTTGGTTAGGGTTTGTAAATGTAAATTATTGCCAGCCAGACTCTCAAAACACAGTGCAGTTTCCAGTATTAATCTTGTGTGATTTAACCGTCTTGTTCAGAGATTAGTGTCAGACATTTTTGCATCTACACAGTAAAAATATTTTTTAAAAGTGAATAAAGGCCAAAATGGCACTAATTGATTTAGGAATGCCATTTTGAAGGTGACTCTGCAGTGAGAATTTTTTCATGCAGTTCAAGGATAATCTGTGTACAACATCTGAGTTCTGCTGCATGCCACATTGGTTGAATTTGATGGGTGTTTATACAGACACTAAAGCTATGTGCTTTGTAAATATGCAAATAATGGAGAAAACAGGGGTAGCAGATTTTGGCACAAAACTGAAGGAGAAAACAATCAATAGAAAGCCTCAGTTTATTGTGAGCTCAGTGAAGTCAGGGTTCATTACAGTGGAGAGATATGGGTTGACTGTGTTGCAATGACTATGAACTCAGGCTAAGACTTTTTTTTTCAGCTAGAGCAATTAAGTAAAATTTAAACTGACACCTATGAACATCTGGTTAGTGTAGCACTATTAATGTGCAAAAAGACTAGGTGGAATAAATCAGAAGACTAAATTTGTCTACTGGATCTGTTGTCTGTAATCAATAAAAACAATACAAAAGAACTGCTTTCAATACCATGTATTTTAAAGAGAAAATTTAAAGTGAACACCATAAGACGAACATACATAGAACCCAAAATAATAAATACAAAATATACACAGTACTGCAGTACACTCACCGGCCACTTTATTAGGTACACCACGCTAGTAACGGGTTGGACCCCCTTTTGCCTTCAGAACTGCCTCAATTCTTCGTGGCAT